CAGGTGTCGTGGAGGCCTACCCTGACCACACCAGGCCTCCCCCATCGGCTATCTTTTGTTCTGTTTATTAAAGGCACTTTGCATCTGAAATTATCAGCTCCCCCACTTGCTCCAAGAAGCTTAAGGACTTTGTCTTGCGTTGGTGCTCAGTATTTAGGCCCCTGGAGTTGTGTTGCAAGGGAAGGAGCTTTCTTTTCCCCAGAGCCTAAGGTGGGTGGAACTGCTCTCTGTTCCACTTCAGTCCTGTCGACCTCACTCCCGATTGGGGCAGAGCCACACTTCTGACCCCTAGCATCTTCATCAGGATGCCTTCGCCCTGACCAAGAAACTATGCTGATTTTACTTGTCCTCTGAGTCTTATCTTGCACAAATGTGACTCGGACTCCCATAGCGCCTGGCACCACCCACACCCTCCCAGGAACCCACACATCCCTCCAGCTGCCTCTTTCCTAACACAGCCAGGCAGGCATCTGTTCCCAGCACCGACCCATTTGCCAGAAATTCTGCCTCTTCCTCTTGGAGGAAAGTAGAAACCTCGTTTACTACCTCCTAGAGGAGAGCCAATCAAAAGATACAGCAAAGTCCTTAATGTGTTACCTTTTATTTTAAATAATGCATTTAAAAGAAAGCCTCCAAATTCTCAGCACTTTAATGAATGGCTGTAATTGGCACATGATCTGAGGGCTTCCTCACCTTTCAGTCATCCCACCTAGCATCAGCTCCGGGTAGAAGAAACCATGAAACAGCAGGAGAAAAGAGAGAAGTGAGTGAGTTGTGTTTGTGAGCAGAGGCCAATAATAATTGCTTCAGGTGCCAAAGAGCATCTAAACCATTCTTATCTGAGAATTGTTTGTGACTGTAAATATTAATGTAAAATTTCATTTTAAAAGCATCCAAGTTTTCCTAGACAGAATCAGATAGTGGTTGCAAGAGGCTGAGGTGGGGGAAGGGACCTGGCTGCAAACACAAGGAACTCAGGAACTTTCTGAGTGGGTATGATGGAAATGTCCTAGATCATGACTGTGATGGGGTAATAAGACTATTCATTTATCAAAATGCATCAATACTCTTAAGTGAGGTGAATTTTGCTGTAGTTCAAGTATTCCTTAGTAAGTCTACCTTATGGCTGGGCACAGTGGCTTACACCTGTAATCCCAGCACTTTGGGAAGCTAACGGGCAGAATCAGGAGTTCAAGACCAGCCTGGCCAACACGGTGAAACCCTGTCTCTACTAAAAATATAGAATTAGCCAGGCGTGACGGCGGGCACCTTTAGTCCCAGCTACTAGGGAGGCAGAGGCAGGAGTATCACTTGAACCCAAGAGGCAGAGGTTGCAGTCAGCCACCACTGTGCTCTCTTTGCCCAGTCTGGAGTGTGATGCCACCATCATGCCACTGCACTCCAACCTGGGAAAAAAGAGTGAAATTTTGTCTCAAAAAAAAAAAAAAGCCTACCTTTAAAACATGCATGTAAACTTTCAGTTCACAAAGCCACTCACTCTGGGAAAATATAAAGCAAATATACTAAACCTAAATTACAGTACAATTCCCCAATAACCCTAGAAGCCAGCTATACTCTAGCTAAACTACTTACAGAAGGGCCAAATAATAGCCGAAATAAGAGACACTTGGAGCCCCCACCCCACCCCTGCACCGCTAAGCAACACAAGGGGAGACAAATCAGGAGACAGGATAAGGGAGACGTACTGTGAAAATCTTTCTTTTATTACTGTCTCTTGTGGCAAAATAACATTTTATACAAATAAGTCACCTAGTTTACTTTGGACACAAAGACAATAAAAACTGGAATGCGGATCTTGGGTGAAGTGGGGAGCAGGAGGAAGGACAGATCAGGTCATTGATGTTTCTTATATTCTGTAAAAAATAGATTTACAGGAAAAAAAATAGACTTTTACAACTTCAATGACTTTACACAGTCCTTTGTAAAACAAGGGGTAAATCCACTTCCAGCAGATCCTTCTTGAGGCTGAGATGTTCTGTGACATGGAATGTGAGTAACACAATGGTTCAATGATTAGGCTCCTACATCAGGTACAGCAGCACCTTATGCCACAGGAATCCTCATGCACTGGGACAACGAGTCTGTCCTGTGAACTTCAGGACACAGTGTCCTCTCCCCCAAACCTCACTGACATCATAGTGACACTGGGCATCAGAAGAAAGTAACTTTACAGAGGGGAAAAAAGAATACTCTGGAAACCTAGCAGTGGGGCAGGACACACTAAGGCAGGACTCGCCCAGTTTGTACATTAGACACAAGCCTATTAAATCCACCCCAGAAATGAGTTCCACTTCAACTGAAAACATAAACTGACAATTGCCCAATCACTGCCATTTCACGAATTTCCAGTTTATGGTCAGCCCCAAATCACGTTCTTCCATCCTATGTATTGCAAATCAAATGGCCCAAAGACTGAGGTGTCTTCAGGAAGTACGCGCTGAAAAAATGCTTTCTCTCCAAAATAGTATTGAGCTAATACATAAGGAGACAACAGCCTACCCTAGCCCAAAACTTCTTCTACTTGTTATGTCCTCTGTTTAACTTTTAAAACACAGAATGAAATAAACTAGGATCTTCTTTGGAGAAGCTAGAAGGGCATCTTGGCCCAAAGGCTGTACAGGAAAAGCGGCCCCTCTCCAGGAGACTGCAAGGCAGAGGAACCGAGGCAAGAGGGGAAGGGTGAGCAGGCAAGCCCTGTGGCAGCAGGTGGGCCTGCTATTCTGATGAAATGTGCTCCCACCTCCTGACAGAGGGCAGGGCCCCCTATGCAGGTAGTTTTTCTTCTCCCTCCCATTGTATCACCCACAAGCTAACTGCTGTCAACAGTTCCGATTCCTTAATAACATGGCAGCCTGACTGGTTCTGTTACTTTCAGAGAAAGTATGCCTTGCAATTTTTTCTCCCCAACTCAGGTAACAAGGAAAGGCTTGAATTTCAAACTCATCCTGGTGAACACCCCAGAGTGGGAATGCTTCTCAAGATTTCCTGAGCAGCTAGGCACAGGAATCCAGAGCCCCAGATACAGAACACCAGACTTTCAGGAGCAATAAAGCCCTGTCCTGCTGGGCATGGACCAAGCACTGTTCGCAAATGGTCTCCAGTGAGACTAAGGCAAGCTAACAAGGAAGAGGATACAGCACAACCCAAGCCAGACTGCCCACCTCCTCCTTCCTCCAGGTCCTCTTCCTAGCAAAAGCAATCACTGCAGATAAGAGCTAGCCCACTAGAGTACTAGATACAGTCTGCCCAGGGGCACGTTTCCAAGACACACTCTACTGAGCAGAGCTCTGGGTAGCTCCAGAACCACATCCCAGATAATGTTCAAATATCAAATAGTAAAAACTCCCCACCTGGGCCTCTGTCAAAGAGAGAAGGGACTGTTATTAAGCTTGACAGGAACATGCAAATCCCATTTGAGGAGCCACAATGAAAAACAGAAGGTGAGGAGACAGTGCTAACTGTGCTGACATCTGCCAATGAGGAGGTGGGAACAATGGCTATGCAGCTTTCCCCAGCAGCATAAGGGACAGAGCCACACATAAGGCACCTGGATTTACAGTGGACGCCAGTTCTGAGTGTGGCCGGTCTGGTGAGAAGGAACCCATTCCACAGGGTGCATGGTCTCTTCCCTCTCTCAGGGCTGAATCCAATGCCAACACATGGGGGTAACCTAGGACCTTCTCAGTGGGAAAGCTGCCAGCATGTGGCATCGCCAAGACTCTGGCCTGGTACAAAGCACTGGGCCAAGGTTCAGGGCCACTCACTCTAGAGCCCACCCAGGGAGCAGCACTGGTGGTGGATGCACAGGAACTTCTGTGGCCACGTGCTGTCTCTTTTGTCCCTGGCCCCCATACGGCTTTTCTCCCAAGCACTTTGGGACACAGCTCTCCTGTCACAGGTACTGTGACACCTCACAGTCACTTACCAGATACCTGGGTCTTTCCTAGGGACATTCTTCTACTGATGTTAACTGGACCCTGACCACATCAATCATCTCATCAGAGGGTCATGGAGTCTGTCCACTAAGGGTCTGAGGACAAAAGCGGCCTACAGATGTGCAAGGGAACTTTTATGAGAAGATATCACTCTGACAGGCCACCTCAGCCTATTTCATCCTTTCTGAACACCTAAAACAATTCTAACTAGCAGTGTGAAGGATCTGATTGTATTACGTAACTCTGATCCACCAGGACAGTTCCAGAAACTACTTCAGTAGAAAGGTACATAGGAAATCCCCCCCAAATAAGAAATCTACAAAGAGATTTGGAGGCAAATCCCCATCAAAAGCCAACTCTCCAGGCTGTGCAGTGCAGAGAAAAGTCAAATCTCTCCGTTAGAAACTTGCTGCTGATTTTTAAGCATATCCTCCCAAACATAAGCCAGATTAGCCCCAGGAAGCTGATTAATACAATCACAAGTCTAACCCCGTATCATATATGCTGGGAACACCAGTCATTTTATAAAACCTCCCCAAAAGAAGTCTGGAAATAAACAAAATTCAAGTCTTGCTCTCTGGCCTCGAGATACTACTGTTCTGTGAGCAGAGCTGACGCGTTCTATTTCATAAGAGACTCAGAAGGGAGGAGCCAGGAGAAGCGGAGCAAGCTTATCTGTCCTCCAGAATGAGAACAGAAGGCACTGCCAGGCTGAAACCTTGGTCTATCCCCAGGAGGGCTGGCTGATGACTCTGGAGGTGAAACAGAGCAGCAGCCTCTCCACAAGGCAGATCCTTCAGTTTGGCAGCATCCTCATCTCTTGGTGCCTCCACTCTTGGAACCTTCCCACCCCCAACTCTTTCAAGTTTCTTCCAGCTGGTGTAAGACTTTACACCAGGCGTCCCCAAACTATGGCCTGTGGGCCGCATGTGGCCCCCTGAGGCCATTTATCTGGCTCCCTGCCGCACTTCAGGAAGGGGCACCTTTTTCATTGGTGGTCAGTGAGAGGAGCACAGTATGTGGCAGCCCTCCAACGGTCTGAGGGACAGTGAACTGGCCCCCTGTGTAAAAAGTGTGGGGATGCCTGCTTTACACAGACCAAGGGCAGACTGTGCTGAGGGCAACTCCAGAGGGGAGAGGAGGAGCTACCTGGAAGAGGCAAACCTCTCGGCTTCCCACAGCACCCAGGAACCTCAAGAGCTGCAGACCTGCCAGTGGGCTTGGCCGGAGCCTTCGCACCAGGCACAGCTATGCCTGGAGAGACAAAGAGCTCGTCAAGACAACCAACAGGCAGCCAGAACTACAGAAAAATAAAACTTTTTTCATCTGGATTCCAGGAGCTTTATCCTAAGTTTTTACTTTACTATAGTACCTCTGAGACCTAAGGGACAGGGGGAGAAAAAAGGGAAGAAAAAATACTGGGGAAGAAAACACAGCACTGTTTGGCACCTCCTTTGGCACACAGGAAAGTCCCACCCCAGCCTTGGCTTCCTGGGGTCAGGTTCCAGATGCATGTTGACAAACTGCAGCTTCCATCACCCCTGTGTGCCAGGATCTTGTGGCCGCGGCAAAGCACCTCCCCTGTCTACTCCTGCAGCACTTACTGGCCTCCATTATAGGCATAATCAGCCTTGTTGTGCATTATCAGCTTGTTGTCAACAAAGTAGAAGCTGTCAGAGCGGGTCTCGTAAGGATTTTCAATCATCAGACGAACTGCAAAGTGGGAAAAAAAAGCAAATAATTATGTTTGAGTCTGCTACACAGGGTAAGTGGCAGAAAACTTTGTATCCCCTCCAAAACAAGCCAGCACTTCAGAGTATACTCTGCCAGAATAACGATGAGGACCGAACAGAGGGAGCCAGCCCTTGACAGCTGGAGAGACCCGAGGCCCCCAAACTGAACACAATCTGCATTTCAACATAAGGATGCAATCAGCTCTCCGCCATGGCCTCCTCTGTCATCTCCAGCCCGGATTTTTCAGCTAAGACGCCAGGGAAATGTGGTCACACTCTTGGTAACATGGACCCCCCCCAACCTATTTACTCAGTGCTCCCAGCTGACTGAAGCAAGCCCTGACCTCTGGTCAGTGGCCCACCTCTAGATATTCCAGTCCAAATTCAGAAATCTGGGCCTCACTATGCCCACCTCCCGCATGCACCCCTGACAACCCAAGGAATCCTAGGTGGGAATGAGCACAGGGAACACAGGGAGCAGGGAGCCTTCTCCGGAGACTTTTTGGATATTAACTCGCAAATGATCCAGCAATAGGTCTGCTTGTCTTGGAATCTAAATTGAAGTCTTCCGTTTGTTCAGGCAATTGCCCAGACCTCTTTAACCATACTGGAGGGTAAAGATAATTAATAGTTACTACCTCTGATAAGTTTTGAGTTAATGATTACATGGCATTTTAAGTTCCCTGGAGGAAGTGCTGTTATTCATCACAGTTTTCAAAAAGTGAAACTGATTTTCTAAAGTTCTTTGATCCCACCAATGCCAAAACTATTTGGTTTATATGCAGAATATTGCCCTCCAAGCTGATTTGGCTTCATGGGTAAAACTTGTAACACTATACATAATCTTTTCTTGCAAGCATCTATATATCCCAGCCAGCTTGGGGAGAGGGGTTCAAGTCAGAATCAGATGCTGTCATCAACACACTGCCCCACATCTCAGCAATCCTCACTTTACCTGGGAACTGCACTGCCACACGAGTATAGGGTACCTGGCTTTCAGAATATGACAATTCTTAAGGACCTGGGATTCTGAGAGGACCAATCAGTGGATCCTCCCCAACAAGGCAACTGAAGGCATCACTAGTCACAGGATTCCATTCACACCCTCATAAATGCCCTGAATTTTCCCTAACTATTCCCAGAGGACGCTAACCTGAGATGGCTAGGCCAAAGTCGAAGAAACTGACAAGGCCTGGGGATGGGATGGGCACAGGCCTCCTTTTATCTCCCTTAGGCACTGTCTTCCCACAGGAGGCATCTAAAAGGAGGGCCTGTATTATTAAAACCTTCAGGCTGGGCGCGGTGCCTCACACCTGTAATTCCAGTGCTTTGGAAGGTTGAGGCGAACGAATCATGAGTTCAGTTCGAGACCAGCCTGACCAACATGGTGAAACCCTGTCTCTACTAAAAATACAAAAATTTAGCCAGGCATGCTAGCAGGCACCTGTAATCCCAGCTCCTCAGGAGACTGAGGCAGGAGAATCACTTGATGGAGGAGGTGGAGGTTGCAGTGAGCCAAGACTGCACCACTGCACTCCAGCCTGGGCAACAGAGCGGGACTCTGTCTCAAAAAAAAAGTGGGGGGCCGAGCGCAGTGGCTCACACCTCTAACACCAGCACTTTGGGAGGCTGAGGCAGGCAGATCACGAGGTCGAGTTCGAGACCAGCCTGGTCAACATGGTGAAATCCTGTCTCTACTAAGAATACAAAAATTAGCTAGGCATGGTGGCGCATGCCTGTAATCCCAGCTTCTCAGGAGGCTGAGGCAGGAGAATCGCTTGAACCTGGGAAGCAAAGGTTGGAGTGAGCCGAGATCGCACCACTGCACTCCAACCTGGGCAACAGAGAGAGACTCATCTCAAATTAAAAAAAACTTCATTGCTCCCATACAGGCAGAGTCAGACTTTGAAACAGGAGCCAGGAGCAATAGGAAATGAGAAGCCTGAGGTCAAATGACTAAATACGCATCATGTCACCACTGCCATGTGACAAAGCCTGGGCACTTGACCAGATGGAGTTCAGGGTTTATTCTTTGTAGCCCTCAGAATTGAGACTGCTGTAAGAGTCAGGGGATACATACTGACATCCTCCGAAAGCTGGGGAAATTCATAGATATGTTCACAAGTGTTCCTACTGCTGGGAATGCAGAAGCCAAAATCAAAGTCAAAGTTTTTCAGCAAGTGTTCCCGGAAATAGTGCCGTTCGATCATCCGGAAGTTTGACACAGGTTTGTCTCCCACTGTGAACTCCACCCTGGAAAATAAATCTCTGTGAGCCCGACTTTGTCTCCTCCCACCTCTAAAGCCAACCCAAAACCCAACCGAAAACATTCTTCTCTGTGAACAAACAGAATGCTCTCCCCTCAGGTAGTAATGGTACTCACGTAGCCCCGACCGTCCGGAGGCGGAGAAATGCCGGTGTGAACTGGTAACGAACAAAACGTCCTGCACTGTTGTCTATGTCTCCCCCTCCTTCCTCCTCATCCTCCTCCTGGTCTGAAAGAGCACACAGAATCTTCAATGCACCATCTCGGCATTCTCAATCCAAGAGTTCTACCACCAGTACCAACAGCACAATGGCAACCAGTTCCCAGTAATCACACCAACAAGAAGGATGGACAACGTTTACTGCGCACTCGCTATATATCAGGACACTTGCCACAGGGCAGACTCCTCACAACAACCCTGCAAGGTGTTACTATCTCCATTTTACAGATCAGGAAGCTCAAGTTCAGAGAAGTCAGGTAACATGTCTGAAGTCCCTCAAGCAGTAAGAGGAGGGAACAGGGATTTGAATCCAGGTCCATCTGACTCAAGGCTTGTTCTCCAACACCTTTTTTTTTTTTTTTAAATAATTTGGGGACTTATGCCATATCCTAAGGGTGAAGGCTGAAACACAAGCTGGGAACTGGGCACCTGACATGGTCTGTATTATACAGACAAGGTCTATAGCTGACCAAGTTGAAGCGCTGGTCACTAACCTAAAAGAATGAGACTACAGAACTACAGAAGTTGACACTTGTTGGCCAGGCATGGTGGTTCATGTCTGTAATCCCAGAACTTTGGAAGGCTGAGGAGGGCAGATCACCTGAGGTCAGGAGTTTGAGACCAACCTGGACAACATGGTAAAACCCCGTCTCTACTAAAAATACAAAAATTAGCCAGGCGTGGTGGTGGGTGCCTGTAATTCCAGCTACTCGGGGGGCTGAGGCAGGAACTGCAGTGAGCCAAGGGGGCACCACTGCACTCCAGCCCGGGCAACAAGAGTGAAACTCTGTCTCAAAAAAAAAAAAAAGTTGACATTTATCAAAAAGTTCTTCCAGTGAATATAAAAATTTCTGGCAGACATGCAAAGATAAACCACTAGAAATACTTTTGTTATTTAAATAGAAGACACTGACCTACAGCCTTCGGATACTATAGTTCCTTGACTGATGTCTATTTCTAGGCCATACCAGAACTAACCCTTACCACCTGGGAAAGGGTGAAGCAGATGTGGGGGGCCCTACAAGGTTAATGCTGGTCTCTGGTTTAGTCCATTCCTGAACCCAGGAGATGAAAGATTTGTAAAATTGAATCAGAGAACAAGCATTCTAATGTGAATAGGAGTTAGTACCTGCCAGTGTCCAGTGAGGATATTTTCTCCAGGTCTAAGCTGTACATGAGTACAACATAAGAGAAGTCTTTTTCAGCATCAAACATCTCTGCCTTTGACAAGCCCAAGAGCGACTGGGCAACTAGGTTGAGTAGGGGTTCACACCCAGAGACTCTAGAACCCTGGCTCCAACAATGGACTGAGAGAGTAAATCTTGGGGATTCAACTTCATCAGAACAAGTGCTGCAGGAAGGTACTGATTTCAGTGTGAGGATATTCTTTTTTTTTTTTTTTTTTTTTTTTGAGACGGAGTTTCACTCTTGTTACCCAGGCTGGAGTGCAATGGCGCGATCTCAGCTCACCGCAACCTCCGCCTCCTGGGTTCAGGCAATTCTCCTGCCTCAGCCTCCTGAGTAGCTGGGATTACAGGCACACGCCACCATGCCCAGCTAATTTTTTTTGTATTTTTAGTAGAGACGGGGTTTCACCATGTTGACCAGGATGGTCTCGATCTCTTGACCTTGTGATCCACCCGCCTCGGCCTCCCAAAGTGCTGGGATTACAGGCTTGAGCCGCCGCGCCCGGCTATTCTTTTTTATATTTTATTTATTGACTTATTTTAAGATAGGGTCTCACTCTGCCACCCTCGCTGAAGTGCAATGGAGTAATCACAACTCACTGTAGCCTTGATCTCCCAGGCTCAAGCAGCCTCCTGAGTAGTAGGATCACAGGAATGTGCTACGATGCCTGGCTAATTTTTTGTAGAGATGGGGTTTTACCATGTTGCCCAGGCTGGTCTCAAACTCCTGGGGCTCAAGTGACCTGCTGGCCTCTGCCTCCCAAAGTGCTGGAATTACAGGCATGATCCACGGCACCCAGCCTCAACGTGGGGATATTCAAGTGAATCAAGATCCTTAAATGTAAAAACTAGAGAGACTGAACATCAAGATACTTTACAGTATCTTCAGCTGAACTTCTTGAAACAGTTCTGTCTTATACTGAAATGACAACTCTGGGTCTAATCCAAATCCACAAACCTGTAGTAGGCCTGGAGTCTTTGAAATGTCCCAGGTACTGGGATATGTGGCTTAGGAATGAGAACACCACAGACCCAGGAAACTAGCTGATCCTGATCTGACCATCCCAATAAAAAACTACCCACAAGCTTGAGCCTTTAGAAGCACTGGTCAGTATTAGATTATGAAAGCATAAATACCACCAGGTAGGGGTAAAATCAGGGCCTTATCAAATTTGCAGGCTCTTTCTGAGTGGCAAATCAGACAAGAAACACTTATTAAAATAAGCTTACAAACCACGCTGACATTACTGGTATCTGTACCAGTGTTCTAACAAATGACTAACTCCAGAGGGCGCTAAACCTCCAATGAGGTGCTCCAAAGGCTTCTGTGGTCCCCTGGCCAGAATGAATCACCCTGGCACTGTATCACAAGCCCAGCAAGCGGCTCTTGGAGGCTAATTTAAGGAACCCCAAGTAGTTGAGTTCCTGGGTCTGTTCCTTCAGAAAATGGTCAAGATTAATATCCAAACCAGGACTTACTGGGAAATCCATGGCACTATGTAAAGGAGAGTGAGAAGATGGTTCAAACTGCCTCACGTCTGGACTGGAATCCTTCCTATCACCCTCCAAGAGGGCTCTAGGCTCAGGTGAGTTTTCCTCATTATAGTTTAATTTCAAGGATTTCTCTCCCAATTAGAGGCAACATGGTAAGATGAACGAGCACAGGACCTGAGGCAAGTGCTGCTTGGGGATTCCAGGCTTCAGATTCTTCGCTGTAAAATGGAGATAACAGTAACTCCTCACAGATGTGAGGATTACATACACTGATGTGCAGAAAAATGTGGAACAGTGACCAGCAGAGACATTCAACAAGCATCAGCATCTGAACACAGCTTCAAACCAGGCCATGGGAAGAAGTCATAGAAGTGGGACACAGTGGAGTTCAAAAAACAGGATGCAGTGGCACACAAAGATTTGAGTTTCAAAGACCTTTGGCTCGAAACCAATGTCTAGTGGTCACTACAACATTGAGGCCTACCTGAAACGCAAGGCTTGGCGATCTCAAAAAGCACTGTCCCTGTCTCCAAATCTCGAATTTTGAAGCGGGTGAAATCAATACTGTAGATGTTGTCTTCAGGTTTACATAAATAATCTGAAAATGAGAGAGAGAGAAACCAATACTGTTAAACAATCCTCCAAAACTACCATTTTTTAAATTCTCAAGTTTTGAAGCAAACTCAGATTTTTTCTTACACAATACACTTAAAATACTCCCAAAAACTTTCTCTTGTGTTATCGTTAGCAGAAGTCATATAAACAAAATTAGGGGATCCAACAAAGAAAAAAAAAAAGAACAAGGACTTGCTTTGGATGAAAACTTAAAAAACTGTTAGAAATAGAAAGCTGGGTGCAGTGGCTCATGCCTGTAATCCCAGCACTTTGGGAAGCCAAGAAGGGCAGATCATGAGGTCAGGAGTTCAAGAAAGCCTGGCCAATACTGTGAAACCCCGTCTTTACTAAAAATACAAAAATTAGCCAGGTGTGGTGGGGCGCACCCAGCTACTTGGGAGGCTGAGGCAGAACAATCAATTAAACCCAGGAGGCAGAGGTTGCAGTGAGCAGAGATCGCACCACTGCACTCCAGCCTGGGCAACAGAGTGAGACTCTGTCTCAAAAAAAAAAAAAAAAAAGAAAGAAAGAAACTAGGATAGAAAAGGGGGATTTCTTTGGAAACACCTAAAAATCTTTCATTATCTATCAAGTTGGATATCACAACAGGGCAGAACTTTGTATGGAATTCCAATCTAAAACATTTAAACTGATTTAGCAGATAATACAGTGCTAGTTTGCTAGTGCTAGTTTGCCAACTGCCAGTGTAAGAAAGCCGAGATCAGCAAATTTTTCTGTAAAGAGCCAGATTCTAAATAATTTAGGCTTTGCTGCCACATGGTCTCTGTCACAACTACTCAACTCTGTCACTGTAGCCACAAAGCATCCACAGACAATACGCAAATGAATGACTGTGGCTATATTCCAATAAAACTGTATTTATGGACACTAAAATATGAATTTTACATAACCACGTGTTATAAGATTTTAAAGTTTTTTTCAACCATTTAAAAATGTACAAACCATTCTTAGTTTGTGGGCTACACAAAATCATACAGTAGACCATACATATCTAGGCAACAGGATACAGCTGCTGGTGAAGGCATTAGGCCCAAGTAAGTAGATGTGACAACCTGAGCAGCTAATTCAAATAATACTGATCACAGCAAATTTCACTGATTTCTTTCCAGAATGATTCCAGATACCACCTTTTCCACAACTCATTTTGATGCTTTATCTTTTATAGCCTGAGTTAGTTGTTTTTGTGTTTTACAAGTAAGTTGTCTCTTTTTAAATTTTTTTTAATTTTGGAGACAGAGTCATGCTGTCACCCAGGCTGGAGTGCAATGGCACCATCTCTGCTCACTTTGCCTCCTGGGTTCGATTCTCCTCCTCCCAAGTAGCTAGGATTACAGGTGCGTGCCACCATGCCTGGCTAATTTTTGTATTTTTAGTAGAGATGGGGTTTCACCATGTTGGTCAGGCTGGTCTTGAACTCCTGACCTCGTGATCCGCGTGCCTCAACCTACCAAGGTGTTCAGACTACAGGTGTGAGCCACCACACCCAGCCACAAGTTGTCTCTTTAGTAAGGCAGCAAGAGAACTTATTATTCTGTAACTGCTAAAAACGCTAACATTGGCTTTGCACCCTTAGAGAGTACTCAAATAACCTGCTAGATAGAGTGAACAAGACGTTAAGAAGAATAACAAAGAGGCTGCCAGGCTCTGACCTGTGGCTTTCTCCAAGAAGCTGCAGAGGTGGGTCTGAACAATGATCAACAATGCCAAGCCCCCAAACAGGACCCGAGTGCTCACTGAGAATGCCGCTTAGGGCCAGGCACAGAATACCCTAACTCGCCTTTGATGGCAGGAGAGGGCATGAGGTTACCAAGACCAGGTGCTGAGCACTGTGTACTTTCAGAGCTCCAAATGAAAACTGGTTCAGATAAAAAAGCTTTTTCGCACTGTTGCAATAAAACTGAATAGCAAGAATGTCTTAAAGATACCTTCAGGACTGCTAAGACAGTCCCAACCCAAACAGTGCTAGGAAATGGGGGCATCCAAATACCTAGAATCAAATTAAAACTCTTTGAGGAGATGAGAATGCCCTTTCGCACAGGTGGACCAAAACTTCCACCCAGATTACTAGAGCTGCCATCAGCAACTTGAGGTGCCCCTGAGCAGCCCTGGGCCGACTGGCATAGCAATTCAGACACCACCGCAGCCTTCGATCATCAGGGAATGCTGCTGTCGCCACAGGGTTAGGAGACTGAAGGGCGGGAATAATGGGCAGGGCAAGATAGGCCTAACTGTGACCGCACACTCCGGGGGGGGAAGACAGCAGCAAGAGCAAAGACGTCAAGTCAGGGATTGGCTTGACAGAGAACAGAAAAAGGAAGGCCACCCAGGGCAGGGACTGGGCAATATTTTTCTTCCCCCCCATCCTCCTATCAATGAAAAAGCTTAGGACGGTTGCCTTTTGTGCAGGAAACGCATTTCTGAAACCCTGAAATCATTCCTAATTCACGAGAATAAATGTCAAAAGCAGGATTCACATGTCGGAGTTTGTACACAAACTGAAACTTTATTCATGTGGCACAGTTTTAATGGGCAGAAAATGCCACGGCCATGTGTTGTGGGTAAGAACCCACCTGCACACTAAGGCGCAAGGCTTCGGACCCAGAGAGGGAGGGAGGCGCGGCCACCGCGCCGGGCCGGAGGAAGCAGGCAGGGCTCCTGGCCTGCCAGGGAGCTGCGGGGCTGGGGCAGAGGGCCGGGGACGCCCGGCTGCACGGGAACTTCACGGATGGCCGGGGTTCCAGACGGCGGGTCCAGGGGCCCGTTTATTAGGGGACGTCGGCTCCCGGCCGGCTCAGGAGGATCCGGTTCAGCCGACCCGGGCCCTCTGCCCAAACAGGTCCGGCCCACCCGGGGAACCGACCTGCTGAGGGGCACCCTAGCGTGGCGGACTCACAGGAACGCGGTCAAGCCCAGCAGAGCCCTTCCCCAGCAGAGCTACGGGAGCGTGGCGGGGGCAGACCACTGCCGGCGGGGCAGCGGAAAGCGCGGCCTGACCCGCCGGGTCCGCACTGGGCTCCAGGAGCCGGGGCCCGGCGCGAGGGGAGGGCGCGGCCCGCGCGGCACTCACTCTCGGTGACCCGGCTGAGGCGCAGGACGTGCTCGGGCCGGATGGTGTCCAGCGCCAGCAGCTCCTGCTCCGTGACGGCTGCCCCGACGCCGTCGTCGGCCGCGTGGTTGGACGCCTGCCTTCGCGCCTTCAGGCGGTTCAGGACGCCGCCTCCCGCCTTCTTCTTCTCCTCCTTGCCAGCCACCAGCCCCCTGGGCCCAGCTGCCGACGCCGCGGCCGCAGCCTTCGGGTTCGACCCGCTCATCGCTCCGCCGCCAAGATGGCTGCCGCCTCCACAGCGCGGTAACTATGGAGAGCGGGGGCGGGGCCCAGGGCCTGGCGGCACCGGGGGACCAGGCCCCAGGGCGGGAGTGGGCGGGGCCGCGGGGCGGGGCGGGGCGGGGCGGGGCGGGGCGGGGCGGGGACCGGGGGCGGGGTAGCGGCTCTGCCCCAACTTTGGTCCTGCCGGGTGGAGGGCCTAAGGGTGCCTGGTCGCCCACGATCTTTAAATGCATATCTTACGATCAAATGAATTTACGTCATATAAACTTTCCTCCTCATCCTCCTGTTCTGAACGAGCACACTGAATCTTCAGTGCACCATCTAGGCATTCTCAATCCAAGAGTTCTACCACCAGTACCAACAGCACAATGGCAACCAGTTCCCAATAATCACACCAACAAGAAGGATGGACAACGTTTACTGCGCACTCGCTATATGTCAGGACACGTGCCATAGGGCAGACTCCTCACAACAACCCTGCAAGGTGTTACTATCTCCATTTTACAGATCAGGAAGCTCAAGTTCAGAGAAGTCAGGTAACATGTCTGAAGTCCCTCAAGCAGTAAGAGGAGGGAACAGGGATTTGAATCCAGGTCCATCTGACTCAAGGCCTGTTCTTCAACACTAAGCTATTAGTGGACAATGCATGTTAAGAAAATATTTATTAATATATTTAGCATAGAAGGTAAGTTAAAACGGTGCTTGTTATGCAAAGGCAGCTTTAAGACAAACTTTCCAATGAGACTGCCATCCCTAAGCCCTACTGTGCCAGGCCCTGGGCTAGACATTCAGCTAGGTTACAGGAGATGTAAGAGGGCAGGGATTGGGTCTGCCTCACCCCTGAATTCTCAGCAGTTCAGCTAATGCCTGACATAGGCTCAGTAATGGCTGAAGGACAGCCTGAACAGTATCCCACTATGGAGGAGCTCCCACTTTTGATATAATTCATTATGTGACCTTTCCTCTTCACAAGGCAGGTTAGTATGAACTGGAAGACAAACTAGACTCATTGACTGCACTGTAAGAGATGCAGCAATGGTGCTAGGAATATACACAGGAGTGGTTTATTCTAACCTGGCTGTAAGAGTCTGAGGGGTGGGGAAGGTTTCACAGAGGCAACATCTGCACTGAGCCTTGCAAGTTAGCCATGACTTCACCAACTGGCCAGAAGTGGGTCAACAGGGGAATGTGGTCTACCCTCTTCCACTCCAAGGGGTTCCTTCTCTAGGGATTCTAGATCTGGGCTGTTCTGTGTTGGAGGCCTGGACCTGACTGATGCAGTGTGTCTGCTAGGTCTGATGTCACTTCTCAGCCAGGTTAGAGTAAAATTGCAACCCTCCCCCAGTGCTTCCAGACATTCTTCCCAGGCCTTGCTTGCTGAGTCCCTCTCACCAAAGCACCAAAACAGGCCCCTCTTGGTTCCTCGACAAGGTCCAAACTTGATCCCACCCCAGCCACCCAGCTGGGTGGCACAGTGTATGGCCAAGTTCCTACCCAAATGCTGTACTGTCTTTGAGAGATTAGCATATGGTGGCATTTAACAAACTGTTCAGGGAGGTTTTTTGTGTTTTTTTTTTGTTTTTGAGATGGAGTCTTGCTCTGTCGCCCAGGCTGGAGCGCAGCGGCGCAATCTCGGCTCACTGCAACCTCCACCTCCCAGGTTCAAGCAGTTCTCAGGGAGATTTTAATAAATGTGTACAAAGAATTAAAGTCTTTCCTTTTGCAAACAGCTCTTTCAAAACCACTCAACAGAGAGTGGTTACTGAAGAATTTCCAGAACTTTTATTATGCTACTTGACTGTGAATGGCCAAAAGGGTGGTTTAGCATGTGGCCATTTCCCGTATACTTGTTCATGGAAGCTTTGTTCTCAGAGCAACAAGACTAGTTACTTGGACCCTGGCTTTTCTCTTTCTAGGGATAATGGCAAATGTAACCTCTTCACCTGCAAGTCCACATCCAGGAATTTACCCTACATGTATGCACAGAGATTTATAATATTGACAATTTATAATAAATTACATTTGTATCCATTCATGTTGCACAGAGCTGTTTTAAAAAATGAGATATGTATATATATTAGTATGGAAAGATATCAAAAATATATTAAGTGGGGCAAAAAGCAAGGCACAGAATCCTATTTATTTATTTAACAGGGTCTCACTCTGTCACCCAGACTGGAGTGCAGTGCCGCAATCACAGCTCACCAAAACCAGCCAAGAACTCCATTTATTTAAAATAAACAGTATAGGCTGGGCGTGGTGGCTCACACCTGTAATCTTAGCACTTTGGGAGGCCAAGGCGGGCAGATCACGAGTTCAGGACTTCCAGAACAGCCTGATCAACATGGTGAAATCCTGTCTCTACTAAAAATACAAAAATTAGGGCCGGGCACGGTGGCTCACACCTGTAATCCCAGCACTTTGGGAGGCGGAGGCAGGTGGATCACGAGGTCAGTCAAGAGATCCAGACCATCCTGGTCAACATGGTGAAACCCCGTCTCTACTAAAAATACAAAAAATTAGCTGGGCATGGTGGCACATGCCTGTAATCCCAGCTACTCAGGAGGCTGAGGCAGGAGAATTGCCTGAACCCAGGAGGTGGAGGTTGCGGTGAGCCGAGATCACGCCATTGCACTCCAGCCTGGGTAACAAGAGCGAAACTCTGTCTCAAAAACAAACAAACAAACAAACAAAAAAATTAGCTGGGTGTGGTAATGCCTGTCTGTAATCCCAGCTACTCAGAAGGCTGAGGCAGGAAAATCACTTGAAGCTGGAGGCGAAGGCTGCAGTAAGCCAAGATCGCACCACTGCACTCCAGCTTGGGTAACAGAGCAAGACCCTGTCTCAAAATAAAATAAAATAAAAGTATAGCCGGGCGCGGTGGCTCAAGCCTGTAATCCCAGCACTTTGGGAGGCTGAGGCGGGTGGATCACGAGGTCAAGAGATCGAGACCATCCTGGTCAACATGGTGAAACCCCGTCTCTACTAAAAATACAAAAAATTAGCTGGGCATGGTGGTGCGCACCTGTAATCCCAGCTACTCGGGAGGCTGAGGCAGGAGAATTGCCTGAACCCAGGAGGCGGAGGTTGCGGTGAGCCGAGATTGTGCCATTGCACTCCAGCCTGGGTAACAAGAGCGAAACTCTGTCTCAAAATAAATAAATAAATAAATAAAAGTATATAAATATATAGATGTGGGCCAGGTATGGTGGCTCATGCCTGTAATCCCGGCACTTTGGGAGGCCGAGGTGAGCAGAATGCTTGAGCCCAGGAGTTCAAGACCAGCTTGGGCAACATGGCAAAACCCTGTCTCTACTAAAAATATAATAATTAGCTGGGTGTGGTGGTACATGCCTATAGTCCCAGCTACTCCGTAGGCCGAGGTGGGAGAATCACCAGAGCCCAGGAAGTCAAGGCTGCATGAACCGTGATTGTGCCAGTGCACTTTAGTCTGGGCCATGGGAATGAGACCCTATCTCAAAAAAAAGATAGACATAGATACAGATATAAATGTGTATTTGTAATTATAAAGGAAGAGGTCTGGATATACATTAAAACTTTAACCTTGATTACTTCTGAAGAGGAGAGCATCAGATGGGGCTAAAGGAAATATATTCACTTTGACATGATTTAGAGCTACTTCTGTACTATTTTATCTCAAGCATATAATCATGGGCTGGTTGTATACTTTCTAAAAAGAAAATACCGGCCAGGCACAGTGGCTCACGACTGTAATCCTAGCACTTTGGGAGGCCCCAACAGGCAGATCATGAGGTCAGGAGTTCAAGACCAGCCTGACCAACATGGTGAAACCCCATCTCTACTAGACATACAAAAATTAGCTGGGCTTGGTGGCACACACCTGTAGTCCCAGCTACTGAGGAGGTTGAGGCAGGAAAATCATTTGAACCTGGAAGGCAGAGGTTGCAGTGAGCTGAGATTATGCCACAGGGCTCCAGCCTGGTGACAGAATAAGACTCCATCTCAAAAAAAAAAAAAAAAGAAAAAAGAAAGAAAGAAAAAGAAAAGAAAATACCTTTGGATCTGTGTCGGGAAGTCAGACTCTATACCAGAGTTGCCCTATTTTCTTTTAAAATTTAAAAGCAACCTCAAACTTAATCAACATTTTCTGTTTTGTTTCTTAAGAAGGGTCTCACTCTATCGCCCAGGCTGGGGTGCATTGGCCCGATCTCAGCTCACTGCAATGTCTGCCTCCCAGGTTCAAGCAACCTGGGCCTCAGCCTCCCGAGTAACTCAGATTACAGTCTTGCGCCACCAGCCTGGCTAATTTTTGTATTTTTTTGTTTTTTGAGATAGAGTCTCACTCTGTCACCCAGACTAGAGTGCAGTGACCCAGTCTCAGCTCACTGCAACCTCCGCCTCCCGGGTTCAAGCAATTCTGCCTCGCCTCCTGTGTAGCTAGGATTACAGACGCATGCCACCATGCCTGGCTAATTTTTTTGTTTTTTTTAGTAAAGACTGGGTTTCACCATGTTGAGGAGGCTGGTCTCAAACTCCTGACCTTGTCATCTGCCCGCCTTGGCCTCCCAAAGTGCTGGGATTACAGGTGTGAGCCACTGCACCCAGCCTGTTTGTTTGTTTGTTTTAAATACTGCCATGAGTCAGGGCCTGTACTCTCTCTGGGTACTACCTATGAATTGTGGTTAAAAGGAATGGACAGGCTGGGCACAGTGGCTCATGCCTGTAATACCAACATTTTGGGAGGCCAAGGCCAAAGAATCGCTTGAGGCCAGGAGTTAGAAGAGTGACAGAGTGAGACTCTCTAAGAAAGGAGGGAAGGAAAGGAAGGAAATGAGGAAAAAAAGAAAGGAAAGGGAAGGAAATATATATAATTTCATTTTTTAAAGGGGTAGGAAATTTTTTTTTTTTTTTTTTTTTTTTTTGAGACGGAGTTTCACTCTTGTTACCCAGGCTGGAGTGCAATGGGGCGATTTCGGCTCACCGCAACCTCCGCCTCCTGGGTTCAGGCGATTCTCCTGCCTCAGCCTCCTGAGTAGCTGGGATTACGGGCACGTGCCAC